GAACGTTTACAACACGAATATGCTCTACAACAACACCAACAACAACATTTCGAGGCCCTGATGCAAGAAAATAATACTGGAAATAGCTTTAGACGTATGTATCGGTAACGTAGACATACATATGTACATACATAATTACTTACTAAAGAACCATTGAACCTGCTCACTTTTCGAGGCCGGAGCTGAGCGGGCCAAACGTATGTAAAACAAAACAGTTCTAAAACACAACGAGGCAAAATAATGCATTAAGGCCGTTTCACACGGTTGGTAGATTTCGTCGCCTGAAGATTTTTAGTTTCACATGCAGTTATATATTTTGAAATAAGGTCTTTCGATGGTGCTATTAGCAGTTTTTAGATATCTCCTTTAGTTTCCGAGATATTTGCTAAAAATTTTTCGATAATTTAGTAAAAATTTAGTTAGGGATGCAGTCATATTAAACTAATCAATATCTTAGAAATGGTGGTCTTCATTTTTGTATATCTCCTTTAGTTTCCGAGATATTGAGTAAAAAGTGTCGTTAATTTAGTTGAAATTTTGATCACATTTTGTCGTAATTCATACACAGTGGCTGCCAAATTGTGGACAAATGACGCTTACGACAAAATTTTACTAAAGAAAATCCTTCATAAACTGAAAACTAATTAACAATAAACAGTAAAAATTAAATACTTTAAGAGGCCATTTAGATGTTGTAAAAGCAAAAAATTTCAAAAAAGAAGCTACCTATTTTCCTACCTTCCTTTTATTAGCTCGGGATGTAACTAGGTAATATTGATGCGCATAAAAGATGCAGCGATTTCTATTCCCAAGTTACATACCTGATGACAGTAGGAATGGCAATTATAATAGGGAGGTTTTAGCTTTTTAACCGACTTCCAAAAAAGGAGGAGGTTATCAGTTCGTCGGAATATTTTTTTTTTTTTTTTATGTATGTTACTGCATAACTTTGCACCACGTCAACCGATTTCAATAATTCTTTTTGCGGAAAGGTAGTGTCTCAGAGGTGGTCCCATACTAATTTGGTTTAGATCCGATCATTGGATCATGAAATATATAGATATATATATATTTTTTTTAAGTCGGTTTTTTTTGCTAAAAATTACTTGTTAAACTATAATTTTATTATCGGTTTGTCTAAAACATGTAGTGCGTCCTGTTGAAACCGGAATTCAGTAATACCACAAAAGGATAAGGCATCCTTGTTTTGGTAGGCCCTATTTTTGCGTTATTCTATAAAAAATATTTCCCTCCCCTTTGGGGGTGGACGGATGGTCTACGACACTCTGTATACTTACATCTGTATTTCAGTAGCATCAATACAAAATTTTACATATTTTTAAAAATAATTTCAATTGTTTCAGAACGTAAGGAGCGGATGTCAAAAAAGCAAAAAGAAATATATGTCAATTTTATGGAACAGAATCCCGTTATAAACGAACATCGGCGGAGCGACCCCATATTAGATCAATATTGGGTAAAGTTAGCTGATATTCTAAACTCAGTGCCACAAGGTGCTGTAAAGCACGTAGCGGAGTGGAAACAGGTGAAATGAATAATATAAAAAATTGGTTTTTTTCCACATCGTAATTAGTTAAATTTATTGGTTTTCCTAGACTTTCGATAACTGGCGGTACCGGGTGTTCTTGTATGCTCGATATAACTCAAAAATCACAGGCGCGGACGCATTGAATCCAAAAAGCTTTAAGCCTCTAACGCAAACGGATAAACGGGCATACCACTTTTGGATAAGAAACCCCGATACAGCTCCACCTGATTTAGAAAAAATGCGAAATGTATTTGTAAATCTAGAGGAAACTCAACAAGAATAGGTGTAGTCCTTTTTCTCGCGTGACCGACTAAAGAGTAAGAACGATAGTAAAATTGAGAATCCTATGTATTTATGTACTACCTAAGGCTATTAAATTTTTGTCATACAAATATAATAAGAAATAATTTAACTAAAATGTTTACTTTATTTTTAAGAAAGTAAAAGTTTCATTTCCGACCATCAATGAACACTTTATGTTACAAACAGATATAGATTTGGTAATGGAGCACGTAAAAACCTGCAATATACAGGCCGGGGCCACCAAACTTTGCGCAAAGGTCAAATTTCTATTAAACCCATCAAGTGAGGGTTAATTCGCGTTCTGCGTTAATTTTATTAATGCCCTGGATCATTTTAATAACAAATTTTACAGGTTTCTGTACCTTATTTAATTTTTTAACCAACTTAACGAAAAGGGAAAGGTTACCAATTCGTCGGTTTTTTTTAAATGTATGTTACCGCATAACTTTGGACCACACTCAGACAAAGGTTTAGTTATAATTACCAAGATTTGGTTATAGTGACCAAGTGGCATAGTTGGATATGGCGAAATAAATATCTAGTTCACGAAAGTCTGCAATTTACTTGAAACTTCTAGTTCTTCAAAAAAAAAAAAATATACATATTTACATAAATAGCTACTAGTGTAAATAATACATACTATGTATATGGTGGTAAGAATTTCCTAAAAAGAAACAGTCGTGCGAAAACACAGGTCAGTATCTGCTGGAAGTGCTGGTTTAAGTATACTGCTTTGCTTTTTCCTTGGCTAAATAGATACTTTCAAATTAAATTCACATGAATTATATATTCATCCCGGGTGGCATCAAACTTTATATTTTTAAATAACTATGCGCACACCGAAACAACTCGCGGCGATGGCAAAACTGAAACAAACAAGTCTGGGCATGTCATAGCACACACTTCTTTCTCTACCTAGTGCAGTGATCGACATGCCATAGCTTACTCAGCGCTCTGTGACCACACGCGTGTTTCACCCATATACGAACAGCGGTAGCGGAGCAATGATTTCCACGCACACGTCTCATTCATTGAATCGTTTTTATGCAATTGTCGGCATACAAGCACATTCTAACGATTCAATAAGTGGGACTGTGTGCATTGCTCAGCTGGCGCTCTTCGTATGCGAAACACACAAACGCTCAGAGAGCGCTCAGCATTATTTAGGGGTGGCTCAAAAGCATGAATGTGTTCCGCTCTCAAACCAAACCGTGGTTGCCTCAACTAAGATTAGGTAACTATGGCTAAACCATGTGTTCAAAGAAAGCTTATCTGCATTAGCAGAGCTTAATGACATCCTTTTATGAACCATACGTTAAGTTGAAAATAGTAATATTTTAAGTTCTTTTCATTAATGGTTCAGCAATTACTTACAATGTTCTTATTTTTTTATATATTACATACGACTTGCATAAAAATGAATAAAATAAGACTTTATACAGGTATGTGCCTTCAAAAAAACATAAAAGGTTGGAATCGTTCGAAACAAAACAAGTAGCTAGTAGTTAGGAGGCATCTTAATCAACTGGAACGAGATATAACTCAGCACTCTCCATCTCTATTCACGACGAACGGAGGCTGCCTCTTACCTATTTCCAGAACTGATCCGAAGATAGTAGACACAAACTCAGGAGACGATAACGGTCCGTACAGCATCGTTCATCTTTTCGCAAGCCCCAACCACCCAAGCAAGGTGACACCGGAGGCGTTCTGAGTTCAAACCAGAGAAACCGCAAGCTTCTTAGGACTCGAGATGGAAGAGTCAGACAGGGAGGACGACGAATAACAGCCAATTCGGGGGATAAATGCTACTAAAACAACAACGCATGCCAGCGGACATTATTTAAAGGATTTTATTTTCTTAGATTAGACATCAACAAAGGTAACGTACACATCAACATAGATATCAGGTTGAATGAAAAACGTGTTATGATGTGTATTTTCGTTGCTTTATTCAATTATAGTTTCTTCCACTTTCTTACCTAGTCACAGTAACGAATTTATGTAATCTTTTACTCTGCAATTCTAATATAACTTGTTAACAGCTCAATAGTAGTTAGTAATCGTAACGTTTATATCTAATCAGGTTGATTTATTTTTAAGGTTACTTATTTATTTACAATCTTTGATAACATTTTGTTAATCAATATAAAATCTTAAATACTTTTACATAACTTTCAGCTATTTCCGGATCTGCGGGCCGCATTATAGCGAATGTTCTTTTTAAGCCTTATTCATCTTATAGCAATTAAAATAAAGCTAAACTAGAAGTTAATTACAAAATGGTACAAGTACAATTATTGTTAGCCAGGCCCCTTTCACTCACGGTTAGGTTAGCCTTGTTCGCATTGTCTGTATTTGTGAGGCACAGCCATTTAACCTCTGAATTACATATATTAATGTTGCTAACTTTTTAACTGGATAACATAATTTCATAAAACGTATGCCAAAATATACTTATATTAATTTTAAATTATTTATTTAAGCGAATAAGAAAGTAAAACACTACTATGGATTAAACTCTATCCGGCAGGTTCTGCAATTCACTTCCGAGTGAATTCGAGTCAAGTTCGCTTTGAATTCAAATTGGCAGGGGTTGAAATTTACTCGGAAGTGAATACTAGAACCTGCCCGTATATTTACAATATGTATATTGCTAATTTCCAGTTTTTCAAAATTCTTCGGAATCTTATTTAATTTGGAATTATTTTTTGTTCCCAACGGCATATTATTATTTTTTTTTCGAAATATGTATTCGCACTTTATGTTCTTGGTATTTTGCACATATCTGTATCGAGTCACAGTCGAGTTTATGGCTCTTTTTAGTTTTTAATGTGATGTAATAACGAAAATTGGTAATTTGTAGATTTTTTGCATGCGGTCAATTCTTTTTGAATAGTTTAAGGTTAGCCGCGAGGAATGTAAAACTTTTTTAGAGGGAACTTGCAATAAAATTAATTTTTCGTCATGAGTCGCAAAAGGCCACTTGGCTTGCTGCTTTCGCCAAGGTGAATGTAATAAAACAACCTGTTCCGTGGTGAAAAAAGCTTTACGATCGTCGTGCAAAAATGACGCCGTATATGATCAAATTCAAAAGGATGTGGAGGAGATGTCGTCTCTATTCGTCGAGGTATCCAAGATACATTCACTTTACACTGATGAAACGTTGGGAACAACAAAACTTTGAACCCATAAATTTTCTGGACTGTTATTACCACTTGATGGTAAAGAAGAAACCAAAATATACAATAGACCAGGAGTATAATATGCTGCGAAAAAAAAACTCAAGTTGTACGATAGTTCGTATCGGTCGAATTTTTTTTGTGGAAAACGCGAATCAATTTCTGACTATATTCCATAACAATATTTGGATGCACGGTTATACTCGGCTCAGAAAATACTTCAAATTTGAAGAAGACAAAAAAGGTATATAGTACTCTATAGCTACCTATTCGAAAAAAATACCAAAAATATCCCAGATCAATCGTTACTTGAACGTATGCGTACCGATTTAAAATGTAACGGCAATAAACTACCCGAAATAGAAAATGTCAAACTATTTTGGTCATCCATCGCATTATTTTATAACCTGCAACGGTATAATAAATCAAGGAAAAAAAATGTTTCACTAATACTACAACTAAAACACGGTTTACATCACGTCAGATACGATCGATTTGCGTTTCATCAACCATTGTGTCGATTAAAATTCTTCAAAGGACCAATTCCTTCCTTCGATAAAAGTGAATTTGGAAAATATTTGAAAATTCCTTTAACATGGAAAAGGAAATACAACATGAAACCAAAGGCAAAAAAAGAAAGCTGAAACCAAATGAAACCGATTGTGAAGGTGATCTAATAAAAATACGCGGTACAAAATACGACAACAAGATTGGGCTAGATCCTGGGTGTCGGCTCATTTTAGCTGGCATCCAGAACAATGTTCCTGTGAAAATCAAAATAAACTACATAAATAACAAAGAAGAGAAAACGTTAATCTGCATCGGATCAACAGAGATTGCTGCGAACTCGCCAATACGCGGATATAGGCGTACACAAAAACCGGTTACTAATCACAGCACTAAAACAACGGCATGCATATATTCTGATGGTTAATGAATTCAGAACAACCAAACTTTGCGCAAAATGTTACAACGTAAACCTGACGGCCAAATCGCTCCACAGATACCAATTTTGCCAAAAATGTGGTACTTGTTGGAATCGAGACGTCAATGCTGGGAAAAACATTCTCTACCCGGGAGAATGTATCATTAAACAAGACGAAAAACACCTAAATTTTTTAAATAACTAGATGTCATTATTTCATATATAATATGTACATCTGACTGCCAACAGTTTAACTTTTGTTAGAGGGACTCGGGGATCCGTATCTGTGGCTATGCCCCTGAGGTAGAAAAACGTTGACCATCCTTGTTTTCAAAAGAGCGTTGATTTAACAACCCGCGCAAAATTTTTAATCTAGTTTTAAATTTCCTCCGATGAACCTCAAAACCTTCAAACAGTAAACCACCATG